TCTGACTGCTGCAGGGGCGTGTCTTAGAGAGAGGCTTTTATACCAGAACACAGCCACTGTGACGAAACTGTGGAGAAGACTTCCTCTTACATCCACAGTTAATCCTGTTGGATGTGTTTGGTCCTTCTTGGTGGTATGCGGACATTTCCCTGGGTAATGTGGCTCTTGATATATCACAAAGACTTGCTGTCTTAGTCACAGATGCACCAGCAAGACCAACAACCAACAATTTGTCCTCTTTTGAACTCTGGTATGTCACCCATAATGTTGTGTGCATTGCAATACGGATGTGGAACCTGAGCTTAGAAAAGACGTTCAGTACCGGTTGACCCACACTTTGATATAAGTAAAAGTCGTAGTAACATACTAATCTTTCTTTCCTCCTTTCCTTGTTCTTAGTTTGCCAAAACCTAAGCTAAAAGTGCCAGTAAAATTGTTTGGTTGTTAACATCAGAACTGACGTTTTACTGTTCTATATAAGTAATCTGAGTTMATGTGAATTGAAATTTGGACGCAGGTTTTATCTCATTTAACTCTGATGCTTGTTATAGGAATAACCACAATCAAGTGTAACTTATGATCTGTTCAATTTGCGTAAATAAATGATTGCATAGTCTTTTAAGAATCAACTTGAACTCGTCTGAACGTTCACTTATTGTGTCACTTTTCACTTCGCACAGTCAAGATATTCACAAGTAATGAGAAATACCTTGGTAAAAGTTTCCTCATAACCTTGTGTATGAGAGATGTGGGAAAAGCTTAATTCACCTTAAGCTCACTCTTACAGAGCAAAACTGTGCTCTTACCCTGCTGATTGAACCTTCCCATTCTGCTCTTACTGGTGCAATGTGCAGTTAATGAAGARTGGCCACCAGACTGGTCCAATTTAGCCATGAAACCTCCCACACTAAAATGACAGGTGTTTCTGTTACATTGTCTAACCCCTGTAWATCCTGCATTTGTTTTAAATAAAAAATGTTTTAGTGACCTGTAAAATGTTGTTACCTGTGATCTTGTGATCTTGTTGCTATAGTGTTGACAATTTATGGCAAAAAGTGTCCTTTTTTTATATTCTTTGTGTGACTGTCTGCTGCATCAAATTTTTACGCCCATCCATGGATGTTCTGAGTCAAGACTCAATGCAGAGCAATGGCACRTGTGTGGTGCACAATAAGTCACGTGATGTCCAATCSAGTAATACAGATCAATAAACTGATCTTTTAAAGATGCATGGTGTGGTAGAAGCTGAGTCATCAGATTGGGTATAATCTTTGTTAGGTGATGAGTGATTTGCATTTGTTCAAGGAATGCTACAATTTTCTTACAKTTTTTTATTCATGTCTGAACAGAAAAAAGCTTGACAGTTAGAAATTTAAAGAACTGGACGGCTATGAACAATATTCATCACATCATCAAGGTGGTATTTCACTGGGCTGCTAATACAGTAGTTTGGCAAACATCACTCCTGGGAGTCTCTGTGCAACAAACATTTCTTAATAAACAGTCCCAGGGTTATTGTGGACATCTAACTGAGTTTTGCTGCAAGTGTTTCTGACCCATCTCTATCGCCACATCTGTATTTTGACTCCTGCCTGGGAACTCTGGCTTGACTGAAAACATGTCAAGTAGGGGTGCACTGATTTGCAGTTTTCTGGCTAAACTCCGACCACTYATCTTTAAAAAGTCTGACCTGCCGATTCCAATTTTGGCCAATACTAATTTTTTAAACAGCTGACACCATCAGGTGTTAGAAGGCCACAAAACACCTTCAATGTTTCATTCTTATTCTATTGGAAAACATGGAACAATACCCTTAAACAATACAAACTTGTTTTAACTGGACATCAGGTAGTGCTCACAGCACAACAAAAGGGGACAATGACTGATTTTCAGACRTTTGTGGAGGTAGATGAGAAGCCAACCTTTTCCACCAATCTTATACACTGTAGGTATCGGTCAATCTTCGATCTCCCAAATCTAAGGAAATCGGTGTCAATAAATCGGCTGGCTGATTTATCATGCACCCCTATTGTCTAAAAACTATCCATCCATCCATTTTCTGTACAAACTTATTCCTTTCAGGGTCATGTGGGTGCCCGTATCCAGCAGTCACAATGCGAGGGGTGTGGTACACCCTGGACAGGTCACAAGTCCATAACAGGGCCACACAGAGACAATCATTCACTCTCTCACATGCAAACTCTARCCAGAAAGGTCCCCGGACTGGGATTTGAACCAGCYACCTTTTTGCTGAGAGGCATCAGCTCTACCAYCTGAGCCACSGTGCCACCAGTTTAAAAACTAATCAGATAATTAAAAAGATAATTGAACTGAATTGAAAAACTTTTCCAAATCTGCCCATCTTCACTTAAAAAGTGCACTCCCACAGACTGAATCACAAAGAACCAAGGTGGGCAAAAGAATAATGTAAACAGTGATCTGTGAAATGAAAATAGGCCTGATTTTCACAACCTGTTCGCTCAGAATGCAGCTACACAGCTTGTTGGTCATTTAGTTGCAAGCGATGAGAATTCAGTTAGACTGCAGCTGAAACTTTCCGTTTTCTCTTTTTTAATTTTCCACAACTCTGTCTCCAGCGAGTCAGCCAACAGTCATAGCTTAGTGAGATACCACCTTAAAGGAAACAGAAACAGTAAAGTCCAACCTGTTCCCAAGCCAAGCCTCACTCCACCTATGAAGTGGTTGCTCAGTCGCTCATGGTCCCACACTGTGAGCTCCACACAGGTCTCTCTGAGGTCCTGTGGTCTGAAGCCATCATACACCATTGTGTGGTTGAACAAGGGGTTGGCTGTCTTCTTTACCACTCGGGTTTTTTGTCGGCTTGTCTTGCTCACATCAGGAAGAACGACGCTGCAGTGGGATGGAACCAGGACACACCCAAGTCAGAACAAAGATACAAATACCAAAAGTTGTCAGACCAAGGAAGGAACCAGAACAAAAGGAACAGGACAGAACCAAGGCAAACATTAAATAAAACTGAGTCTGTTGTCTCTGCCTTCTTTCTGCTTCTCTGTGAATTTTGTARGTTTTACTTACAGCTTTTTCTTTCAAGTATTTTAATTTATTTTGAGTTTGTGTGTCTAGGTTAAATCACTCCACTGATGGTGACACYTGTTCATAACTATTTTCTTTTAATATTTGATTATTTCACTAACTAAATTTTAGTCACTGGAAATAAACCGTATCATTGTGAAAGATAACAAAATTGATCAAGTCAACATTTTTTCTAATCACATTTTTTTGGTAAAAATGTTCGAATAAAAGTTTGAAATGTTGATAACAAACCATTTGACAAATGGGTTGATGGCGACTCCTCTGACTGGAGGAAGGTTCCTGCAGTCTTTCACCCAAACCATCAGCTCACCACCATCRAGCCCAGAATTACTTTTGCCTACGAGTAAAAACACACAAAGTGACTCAAGGAACAAAACTAATCAGAGAAAATGAGGATATTTTAATCATCAGCTCACTGTGAAATGTCTGTGCCACAAATTTCAGAGCCACTCTCATRTGCCCCCAGCTGCCTGCTAGAGGTAAGGTTGATGGAGCTGGGATTTCTGATGGAACCTGAAAGAAGCAGCTGAAGTTAAAAAAAAGTCTAAGCCTTCCTGCATTTTAGACACAACGCACAAACAAGCCTTTACCCTGCTCTTTAAAGTGTATTCATTGATCTCTGTGTTATTGAAATCCCACTCAGACAAATCCAGGTCCACCTCCCCCAGAAAGCTGTTCCGCCCAAAAGAGTCGTTGTGCCACACCGAGACGTTCAAGGTCTGTGATTTCAAATCAGCCATCGGGATTTTGAACTGTTAAAAAAGGCAGAAGATTATAGACAGAAAACTTCCATGGTTGTTTCAAACTGGATTTTGGTATTTGTTGTGTATTTGTTGTTAATTAGTCAGAATTTTCCTTGAGTTAGATATTTTCATTTGTTCAATATGTTCATACAGTATATTGATACTCACACATGCAAAGCCAGTGTGTGTGTGTGTGTGTGTGTGTGTTTATAAATTGTATATAATATTATGGGCATAATGACTGCACCCCCTGTCACTCCACCAACACACTACTCTAGTGGGACTTATAACAGGTGGAGATGAGTTGGCATACAAGGACGAGGTGCAYCAGTTGGCAATGTAGCGTGCCTGGAACAACCTGTTACTCAAAACTGGAAAAACCAAGGAGATGGTCATGGACTACAGGAAGAGCAAGGRCGCCCCTGCACCAGTCTACATCAATGGTTACAGCAAAGAAAGGYTTCCCCCACTTCAAATTCTTGGAGATCTACGTCTCATCAAACCTCTGGCCCAGCACCAACTCCACTTCCTGAGAGCATTCAGACAAATCAGCTTGGAGACTAAGCTGTTGGTAACCTTCTAWCGRTCCACCATAGAGAGCATGTTGGCAACTGTAGCTGAGTAGTAAGATGAGCTGTCCTACAATGAGTTAGTCGGGGGTTCAATTCCACCTCTATTCAGCTGCATATCGAKGAGCCCTTGGGCAAGGCAGTTAATCCCCTCTGCCTCTGATATGTATGAATGTGATTTAAAGCARTGATTAGTTTCTATAGAATGATTTATCTGGGTTAGCTTTGTAGAGAGATGTCGTAAAGRGCTGTGTAAAAGGGTWAATGAGGACACTGTAGTYTTGTAAAGTGCTTTTAGTCTTAGRTGGATATAAAGGCACTATATCGATCATGTACCTCAGGGAATCTTGTGGGGGGTACTCRGGCAGTATGGAGTACCAAGCCCTTTGATATGGGCTGAGTCCCTGTACAACCAGTGTCAGAGCTTGGTCTGCATTGCTGGTAGTYTGTCGGYCTCGTTTCCAGTGAAAGTTGGACTCCGTCAAGGTTGCCCTTTGTCACAGATTCTGTTCKTAACTTTTATGGACAGAATTTCTAGMCARAGCCAAGGTGTTGAGGGGATCCTTTTTGGTGACCTTAGGATTGCATCACTGCTTGTTGCGGATGATGTGGTCCTATTGGCGCATAAAATCGTGATCTCAAGCTGTCACTAGAGCTGTTCACAGCCAAGTGTAAAGCGGCCGGGATGAGGATAAGTGCCTCCAAATCCGAGACCATGGTCTTAAGCTGGAAAGGGGTAACGTTCCTTCCCTTTTTATCAGGGGAGAGGTCCTACCCCAAGTGGAGAAGTTTAAGTATCTCGGATCCACTTTGCCTGCTGATGGTGGTCAGAGGTTCTGGTGGCGCCGGTGCATGGCAACACTTAAAATGTTGCCACCTCTGTCAGTGTGCCCCAGGACACACTGACAGAGGTTCATGTTAAAAATACCACCTACTTTTAGARGAAGTTACCGCCCACAGAGTGAGGACACAAGTTACAGTGGAAAACCACCTKCACTCGAGTAGAACCAATCCAACTAGAACTGAGTGGAGCTGCAACTGGAATGGGTGAATGCTCGAAGTGTAAGGCGCCTTGGAGRCCATGTGGACTTGATAAGGCACTATATAGCACTATACAGCGTTGGTGACTATTCAGGTCACTTCCTGACCAATATGAAGGATTGCCATGCTCTCAGTACTCAAACTTTTTTGCCTTGTGRGAGCTGGACTCGGTGTYCAAGCGGTTCTGCTGAGGYTCGCGGGCCGGCTGTGGTCCCTGGACTTTGCTGMCCAGATGGAATTGATCTTGGAGAAGCTGATAGCTRGGCTCGGCGCGATTGCCCACACTATTTGTGATTGGATTCGCCACCTTGAGATGTACCAGCGGACATTAAGACTGATGGAAAATTGTTATTGTCTGCCTGGTCYAAAACAGTTTCTTCTGTTCCCAAACAACTGATTACAGATGTGGCTCTCCTACATGGCCTTGAAGAGCTGTGGAARTAAATTCTCCTGAGTGTTTATGTCGATTGATGGTCTGCCCCCCACCTTTCCCCCCCTCACTCCCGTCTGTGATCTAGTTCCTGCAGCAAGCTGAGGGCCGCACAGAATGAACAGTTAACATCCATATTCTGAACTATGGCTGCGRGGGTTTTTGGGGACTCGATACTTTGGGCTCATTTTTCAGATATTCACACAAGTGCATACAACCCTCATGGCTTCAGATACACGCACCCCTAAACTCAACCAACTTCCCTGGCTAATACTAAATGTGCTCTATGCAGATTTATTTTTATAAACACCATAATGTGTCACATTTCATTGATATAATATGATGTCTTTTTTTCCTCATCTATCCTTGTGTGGTTTTTAGTTTTTCTTTTAAGGGTTGCGCCTCCTCATGATGTCTTCATAATGATGATCCTTGCTCTGTGCAGGGGTCTGTGGCTGCATGACCCAGAGCACCTGTTCTCTATGTTTGTTATGTTCTGTCTTCTTGTTCTGAYCTGTAATTTCATTGTGCTCTGTACAATGACAATAAAGGTCTATCTTATCTTATCTTGTCTTGTCATGTCTTGTCTTGTCTTGTAAGTTCAAGCAAAAACAATAGAATCACTCAAGAAATTTGAATAACTCAACAATATTTGAGTTTTATTTTTAGATTCTACTTTTGCCAACAAACAGGTGTTAGTTCTTAAATGAGAGATGACCCAGAAAGCTGTAAGAGTATAGGCTTGTTACCTTGAGGATTTCATTGTAGGATGGGTTTAATGTCTTCTTTCTCACTGAGGTTTTTCTCTTGCCAAGTTGAGTTTTGTCAGGAAGGATGTAGCATTTCACATACCTGCCAGAACAGCACAGTTTTAATGRTGTCAACATGTTTCAGACTTTTATAAAATCATATTTTCCACACAGATATTTCTTTAAAAAGTTGTTGTGGAGTACTCACGGGTCAGAACGGTTCTTTTTAGGGTCTGCAGTGGCCAGAGCCCTACAGAGTACCACAAAMATCTGGAGTTCTCCAAGCTTTTGAATGTAGTTCACTGCAAACTGGATGCTTCCTTGGACGTTAATGTCTGCAGAGATGCTGCTCCTGCTGCTGCTCATCTGCTCAGACATTACACCACAGAGGAGAGACAGGTGTGGTCGTAATTTCTCARGGGCTGGTGGTCAGTGGATTCACAAGGGAGGTTTTTTAATGTTCCAATACTTTTGAGAAGGTCCTTATTTCCTTGTGTGAGTGGCAGGAGCTCTCTGTCCTGTCACTTGTATTTTGAACATGTGTGAAAATTTGTGCCACAAACCTTTTTCCAAATTGTCCCAGAGTCATTGCAGGGCTCTGAAGCCGATSTCAAACCCTTCTGGAAGCTCCCTTGTGAAGGTCATTTACCAAAGTCACAGCCCAGTGAGACACACCAKCTTATAGTCTGCCTCTGCAAATTCAGTCTTAAAAATTTGGGGGCTGCCTTGCCAAGGGCCAAGCTAAGTATGGATGGAGGTGGACAACAAAATAATGTGCAAGGTCTAGGTTACATTTTTGAATGCCTTGCACTCTAAAATATGGGGTTGGGGGGGTTTGTTTTATTTATTTATTTTCAAAAGTTGATGGCTCAAAACACGGTTTTCCAGTCATTTGGTTGCAAACCCTCAGGATTCAACAAGACTGAAATTTTGCCTATTTTCTTTCATTTTGAGTTGCCAACTAGTTCCAACAGTCCCAGTGAAATCCTACCTTTAGAGCTTTTTGATTAAACTTTGGTCAGGTCGATCACAGGACCAACACATAACCACCTCAGTTAATSAAAGATTCATTGCCTTCCTTATGCATTACCAATTTGAATTATGATCTTCTTGCTTGGTGGACTGATTTCTTACAGATACCTACATTTGAAAGAATATATTAAAAAGTCAAACTTTCCCTTTATGTCATGTAACGTAATTCCTATCAGATATGTGTTGTCTATGCTGTATTTCCATTTTATTCATCATTTTGTGAATTATAATTTCATTGCCTTAATCCAGAATTCAGACTTCTTGAGATATTGRATATGGCTGTATGTGGACGTACAGATGACACGGAGGCCAATCTTGATGAGAGATGTAGGTCAGACAGAGAACTGCTGGGGTTTTTCTGAAAGGTGATGTCATTGTCTACCTAATAAAAACAAGAAACAAAAAAAAATCATTGTGTTCAATAAAATCACTGAACAGTATTAATAATCAGCGTACAACAGTGATTAACCTCATCCTTCTGAAGATCAAATGCAGAACAACTGTTTGGCATCGTCCTTGACTTGGTGGGCGCAGACGCTAATGATGTAAGGACACGACAGAAGAAACAAATGGTGTTTAATTAGAATGTTTAGAARCTCACAAAGATTTTGACTGCAGAACTGACAATCTGGAATTTTCCTTTTTCCTAGAAAATGAGAATGAAATTCTATKAGGCTATTTTTATTATTTTTTTGCTAAATTTATTTAATMTTAAGTATTTTGTATTTATCCTAAATATACAAGTTTTGGACTTAATACCATTACAAAAAAAATATTTGAAAAGATGACAGACTGTCACACAACAGTACAACATGATTTTAATAACATATCACAATATTAATTCTTCTGTTACTTGTTTGTGAGGTGAGATTTTCCAAACTTTTGGATGAAGACATGTTCCGTGAAGATAATCGTTTTAGTGCAGAAATGAGAGGGCTAGAAATGTCACCATAACCTGTTGAACAAGATCATTTTACTTTGGTCAAAAGTTTCAAGCCATTATAAAAACATAAATATTTGACATAATCCTTAGAGTATGATCAAGTTGTTGTCTTGGTTTGCCTTTTTATGGTGAGTGATTAGAAAAAGACATATTGTTAAGAAGATCAATCTTTATATTAGTAGGTAGCTTATCTTTTTATAAACATGCTGAGTCTGAAGAAATCAAAACCTCACTTTTTTAGTTAGTTTAAGATGATGAGTATAGATTTTTATATACTTTAAAACTTAATTTCTGAAGTATATATACACATAATATTTATAAAGGATTTGTAATATTATGTACTACAGTTAGAAATCTGAGAAAAAATGATTAGTTGAGACACAGCAAAAAGCTGGACAATTTTTCATAGTCATGGTAATTTGCCTGTGTGTGTGTGGGGGGGGGGTGGTTTTCGCTACATCGTGGGAACCATTTTCCTGAAAAAGGCAGCCACGTGGGGACCGCATCGTGGGAACCAATGCCCGGTCTCCACGAGTAAGGATGCTAATTTTGGGTTGGGGGTTCGGTTTAGGACCAAGGTGTGAATTGAATTTAGGTTCATTTTAGGGTCAGAGGTACCTGTGATGTTATTTTTAGGGTAAATGGTCAGGGTTAGGATATAAGATTACCAAAAAACTGAATGGAAGTAAATCAACGGTCACCACTGGGATATAAAAACAAACCTGTGTGTGTGTGTGTGTGTGTGTGTGTGTGTGTGTGTGTGTGTGTGTGTG